CTCTGTTGCCCAAGCACTTTGAGATGGCACTGATGGGCCACGATTTGGATCCAGGCTCTTGTCCTACTCCAGCCCTTGCTGGGAATAATTCACCTCCAAGGCCACCACTGTGGCTACCCTGTCTTGAAGCCAACCCCACCACACCCAGGACACATCTGACAGGTTTCTGCTGCACACAGGAGTTTACCTGTCTCTACTCCAGAGACTGGAAGAAGTTCAGTGCATAGACATATGTACAGGCGTGGACACACTCACTCTAGTGGCAGGGATCCTCGGGACATGAGTTCACTCTTGCTCCACAGGGCTCAGCCCAGTGGGGCTGCTTCAGTTGTCCAAGAAGACACAGGGTGATGCTGACCAGGTCCCACCTGCTGAGGCCATCTACATGGTGCCCAGCTAGGAGGAGGGGCAGCGGCCACCTCAGTCGGAGTCACAGGCTTCCTGCTCGCTGGTGGCGTCCACAGCAGAGGCCAGACTGTCCTCCTGGCCTTTCAGTCTTTCACCTGGGAGGGGGCAGACAGGTGGTAGCGAAGGGCCCTGGGCCTGGGCCACAATCTCAGGAGCTGGACCCCAGCCTGCCGGCTGCACTTACGAATCAGCTCGGCGATGGCCCGCTGTGTCCGCTTCTCCAGCTTCTCCAGCTTCTTGGCCACATCTCTTTTGAGGTCCCTGCAGGCAGAGAGAGAGTGATGGCTTAGGGAGCTCCTGCACATCCCTGGTGGCCACACTGGGGAGAAGACAGGTACTTCCTTTCCTCTGCACCCTCAGAAACCCAGCCCTATGGAGGCAGTGGAGCAGCATCCTCCCCAGGGCATGCTCCTGGCCCAGCCCCTTAGTCACAGCCAGAGTGACATGCCCTGAACTCCCCTCCTACACTCAGCCTACTCTCCTAGGCTTTGGACTTCCCAGGCCCCCACATGTCTGAGGTTTTTCTCCCTCAGTGAGCAGCGGCAGCTGGTGCTATTCTCATCTCTCAATCACAGGGAGAGGGATAACGCCCAAGGTGAGGTGAACCCAAGCCCCTCCCGCCCTTGGCCCAATGGGAGCAGCGCTACAGGCCAAGGGACCTGAGGACGGGCACCCCAATCTATAGAAAAGTGGGGAAAGAGGGAAACAGGCACAGAGCTGCGTCTGCCTCTCCCTCACTGCTCACCTCCCCCCACCAGAGCTATATCTCCAGGCCTGTGGTGAAGTGGCAGAGCCCCTGCCCCATCAGCCCTTACCGGGGTGCAGCAACACTCACCAGTCAGGCTTCCGGGGTGCCAGGTTGGCCAGGTCCTGGGAAAGGAGATGCACATCAGGGTGGGGGAGGCTGGGGATGTGGGAGGACAGGGCACAGAGAGTAGGGGTGGGAGAAAGGACAGCAGGAGCAGGGATGGGCAGGGGAGTACAGGTCAGAAGGCAATGGCAGGGCCCACTCCAGTGGGGAACTCACCACTTCCTCAATGACAGGCTCGGGCTTGGCGGCCTCCAGCTGCTCCTTCACCTTCTCTTCCACTAGAGGGTGCAAGACAACAAGGCAGGCCAGTCAGAAAGGAGCCACCCCTGTAGGACAGCAGGGAGCAGCAAGCCAGAGCTGACAAAACCCAGACCACTGCTTGTGGCTGCAGTCTGCCCACAGTGGAGGGAGCCTGGATACAGGAAGCGGGGATTCCTCAGCATCCTGCCCTGGGATGGCTTTTCTTCCAGTCCTCGTTCAGATGCACACAGACAGGTTTCTGGGTCTCCTACGGAGTCAGATGCAGAAGCACCCACAACTCTGGGCTCCTCCAGCCCCCATCATCAGGGGGCGCTGGGTGCCCTTCTGCTCTGATATGAGCAGGGTGCTCCTGGGCCAGAGGTGGGGCCAGCTCCTCATCCCTGTCTGCTCTCTTACTGCCCGTCCTATTCTCACTGCTGCCTACCAGGTGGGTCCGGACCATGGAGCAAATCACAGGCCGGGTAGAAGGAAAAAGTAAGAAGCAGGCAGGAGAGGGTGGAGGGACGGCTTGATGCATGCAAGTATGTACCTGTTTACTAACAGCGTTACCTGGTCACTCACTGTAACTGGCTCTGGGAGGCAGGTAGTAAATAAACTGGCTACAAAGAGTGGTAGGTCATAAGGCAGTCAACAAGTTCTAGCTTTTGCATCAAGTACTAATTGACCAATACAACACAAAAGTACTAATTGACCAATACAACACAAAATTTCTACATCAAAATGCACCAACTAACAAACTTGACAAGTTTCAAAGTGGTCTAATACAAGGTGTGAGTGGATGTATTTATTATGCAGCCCTGGGGATGGAGCCCAGGGCCTAGCTCCTGTTTGGTAAACATTCTACTGTGGAGCTGCCATGTGGGACCTGAATAGGTATGTTCATTCATTACTTGTACCATTAAAAGTTGACAACAAACAAGTCCCAGAGATCCAGAGGCTGAGACGGGAGGACTGCCATGAGTTGGGGGCCAGCCTGGGCTATATATCGTGTTCAAAGACAGCCTAAACTACACAGTGAGACCCTGCCTCAAAACACAAACCAAACCAACAACAGCAAAAAAAAAAAGTTGATAACAAAATAGGCATGAAAGCAGGGCTGGAGAGATAGCTCAGTAGAATAAGTGCCTGCCTGGCAAATACGGGTCCTGAGTTCAACACTTGACACTGGGGGGGGGGGGGGCGAGGCCTGAAGATGTAGCTCAGCATTTGCCCAGCACGTGTGAGATCGTGGGTTTGATTCTTAGCAGTGCCAAAGTTAACAACAAAATAAGGACCAAATCCAAGGCCAGTGAGCAAGGGGTCCCGGCAGGCACGAGTGCTGGGCCACACCCCTGGCTGCTGTGCTGCCCACACCACCGCGAAGCTGGAAGCAGCCAGTCCCTAGCCCTGTGCCACCTGCCTGCATGCTCTCAGACCCACAGGACTGAGCACCCTGCTCTGCTGTCCCAGGAGCGTCGCACCACTTCCGATCCTCACCCCAAGAAGTTCCAAGGCCCCCCGGACCAAAAAGACTCAGAGGCCACTCTAAAGGCTCACAGCCTCCCCGAAAGACTGCACGGCCAGGAGAGGCTGCTGTTCAAGAAGGCGCCACCTACCTGCAACTGGTTTGGCCTGGGGAACCCGCCTCCTCTTTAGGTCCTCATCTTCTGGGACGTAGTTTCGCAGCCTGAGCTCCCTGTGACAGCAGAGAGTGTAACAGAGATAAGTCACCTGCAGGACAGCTCTGCTCAGCCCAGGTGGCCTTCGAGCCAAGTGCCCCACCAGGCAGGCCGCTTCCTGACTGCCCTCTGACCTGTCCAGAAATGGCCAGTTTTGAGGGATGCAAAGAGCAGAAGCAGCATGCAGACAAGTCCCCACCATCCCCAGCAGCTCAGGACCAGGCCTGCAGCCCACCAAGGACCCCTATGCAGCAGGAACACAGGGTTCTGGGGCACAGCAGCCATGGAGTCGCCCAGCACCATTTCACTCACTTGGGGAGCACTCACTGTGGAGCTGCTGTTTATTCATTCACTACTTGTACCATTAAAAGTCGATAACAAAACTGAGTGTAATCCTAGTGTTCAGGAGGCTGAGGCAGGAGGACTTCCACGAATTGGAGGCCAGCCTGGTCTCACTCAGGGGCTGCCATGTGAGACCACGGCTGGGCACGTTCTTGGGCTATTAGCCCTACACGGGAAGCTGGTGGTCACACAGCAGTTCCCCAGCCTATCCCATCCTTGGAGCCTGGTGTCCCAGGGCCAACATGACACATTCCCTCACCTGCTGGTTGAAAAGGTCTGGATGCGCTAGGTCAAAGGTACGTGGCAGCGTATGAGGTGGAGTGATGTGAGAACAAGTGCCCAAGGGTACTTGAGGAGTGGTGGAGCTGTGACAGCTGATGGGAGCAGGGAAGGATGCCACAAGGAGGTGGCCGACAGGGCCAAGGACATAGCACATGAGGATGACCCCATCACACAACTGTAGGGACAGGCATGACCAGGGCAGGCCCAAAGCCTGGCCTGTGCCCCCACCAGAAGTCCCTGGAATTCCACAAGACCAACCCACCTGCAGGGATCTTGGCAGATCTCCCTCACACATGTACACGTATAGGACTGTCCAAGAAAGGGGAGGCCCTGGTTACTCCACGGCAGTGAGCTCAGAGCCCCTGCGGGCTTCAGAAGGGGGTCCCCACCTCCTCACCACTTATTTCAGGTCCTTGACTATGGGCTCCTCAGATATCCCTCAGCTCCCAGACAGGGGAGGGCCAAAGAGGCTACCACTGCATGTCTCCCATGACCCCTTCCATTCAGGCAAGATGGATGAGACTTTCCAGAGGGAGGCAGGGGACCTGGGTCTCACAACTGGCATCAGTGGTGGTGTCCCTAGCTCACACACCAACAGGCCCAGATAACCCTATGTGTGGGGTCACAGGGGTCACAACAGTGTTGGCAGCATGGTGGACACCCAGCCCACACCTACTGCCTGCTCTCCTTAGGGGCAGCGAGCCCCACCTCCTAAGGCCTGCTGTAGCCTAGGGTAAGCACAAAAGGGTAGGGGAAAGAGGAAGAGGAACTGGGTGTAGGAAGAAAGTCCCAGGGATTAGTGAGGAAAAAAACCTGGCTCAACATTCTGTGAGTAACCCTGGCCTCCGCCCACCCCTGCTGGAAACAGGAAAGACAAGAGAGGAGGGTGGGAGGCCCGGTGGAGGAGAGGCCGCAGCCCTACCGCCCAAGGATCTGTCAGTCCCTTGGCTGAGCCCTGCTCAAGCAGTCAGAGATACCTGGCGTTCTAGGCTTGGTTTCCCTATCTGTAAGCACAGAGGCTATACTGGGTTTGAACTCTTTCCAGATGCCCAGCGGGGCAGCAGGCCGATATAGGCAAGGGTACCAACTGCTGTGGGCCTGCCTTTCCAAAGCATGGCCCAGATTCCAGGCCACCCCACAAACAACTTAGCAAGGCTAGCGACAGATGAACTAGAAACATCTATTTGGAGAACAGCCACGCCAATAAGGCTTGGGCCCAGGCAGGGGCAAGGGAAGTATGGTGGTATGTTCCTAACACTGGGCCTCTCTCTCCCCTTGTACACAGGCAGTGGCTGCAAACCTGAGCTTCATGGAGCCAGGGAGATGGCTCAGTATAATAAGCGCTTGCCTGGCAAGCGTAAGGGCCTGAGTTCAATCCCCGGTTCCACAAAAAAAACCCACCTGGGCTTCTTGCAATCTCCTGACAGTAGACAGAAAAACATGGTGAAGATGACTGTGCAGTAGAGCCCTGCTCTACAAAAGAACAGAGACTGAGGAGAGTAGATGATCCAGAACCTCAAATTATCTCCAGAAATTTTCACACATAACATCCAGGATTCAATCAAAGCCATGAAGAAAAATGAACAGAAATACACTCACAAGAGATATACATTCTGGAATTATCAGAAATTACATTTAAAGTAATCACAATTAAAATATAATAATCACAATTAATGAAAGTTCAGAAAGTAGACTACAAGATAATTTTAGTAGAGAACTGAGTACCAAAAATGAGTTGAAAGGAGCCAGGGTGGTGGCACACCCTGCAATCCAGCATTCAGGAGGCTGGAGGAGGACTGCCATGAGTTTGAGGCCTCCCTGAACTACACAGGAAGCCCCTACCGCAAACAAACAAGCAAAATTAATTAAATGAAAACTCCAGAACTAAAAAATGTAGAGCTCAGTGAAAGGGCTTAACAGCAATTTAGACACAGGTGAACAAAGAACAGTGAATTTCAAGATATGCCAGAAAATATATGGACTGAGGCACAAAGGAATTAAGTGGGTAAATAACAAAACGTGTAAGACATAATGGAGTATGATGAAAGGACCAACATATACATAATTAGAGTATTAGTCATGACTGACAGGTTTTTCAGAGGTACACTAAAGACATAAGAAAGGTAAAAGAAGCCTTTATTAACTCCAAAGACATGGCGAGGATGGAGGGCAGATGGGGCAGGGAGATCCTCCGGCCTGAGACAGAGACAGCTGGGGCTTTTATGGACTTCTGTTGGGGTGGGGCTTGAGGGGGTGCTTAGAGATACCTGAGGCACTGACTGGGGCCTTCCCTGAGGTAGCAGGAAAGGTGGAAGGAAACTGCACCCTGGACTAGGTTGAAGAAGAAGCGGGGAGGTGGTCTCTGGGAGAATAGACTGTTATTTTAAAAGCTTTAGCCATATTAGATGACCACCATAATTCAGCAATTCATACTAGGGCCAGAACCTATCAGTAATATTGAAAGAGACAATGACTAAAAATTTGAAAGAATTATACATAATTAATGAAGGAAATCTTCATCAATCATAATCATAGGTTAAACAGAACTGTAAATCCTCCCAAAAAGCATACCTAGGTGACTCACTGCCAAACTACTAAGAAATAAAAAAAGAAACAAGGGCTGGAGAGATGGCTCAGTGGTCTAAAGCACCTACTTGGAACAAGCTTGGCAAAGCACAGGGACCGCGGTTCGATCCCCCAGCACCACATGCCAGCCAGCCCCGTTCCCTGGTGGGCTGAGCTGGCCACACACACACACACACACACACACACTAAATAAATGTAAAAATAAATAAATAAATAAATGATTAAAAAAAAAGAAAGAAAGAAACAAGAACCCAAAGAGAAATAGTCAACCTTCAAGGAAAAAATAAAATAAAATAAAAAAGACTGACAGCTGAAGAAAGGAAAACACCATACAAGAATTCTAATATAGTTCACAAGCCTTCGGGACAGAAAACTCAAGACAGAGCCGGGCATGGTGGTGCACACCTGAAAGCTCAGCACTCAGGAGGCTGAAGCAAGAGGATTACTCGAGTTCATGACCAACCTGGTGTATATAGTGAATTTAAGGCCTGCCTAAACCACAAAATGAGATCCTGTCTCAAACAAACAAGAAAATTCAAGACAGAGAGGAGCCCGGTGTGTGTGGTGACACACACCTGTAATCCCAGCACTCAGGAGGTTGAGCAGAATGAGCACTGAGAGCTCAAGGCCAGCCTGACCTACAGACAGATCCTGTCTCACCAAAAAAAGAGACAGAAGTAAATGACGTCAAAATGTTTTCAGGCCTAGCACTGCATGGGAAATGATGAAAGGGCTACCACTTCTCATTAGACTGGTAAGTTAAAGATATATGCTGTCATGTCTATGGAAACTACTAAAAGAGAGAAAAGAATATATGACTAACGAGAGGAAGGAAATGAAATGATTAAATCTAAAAGACCAGAACTGAGATAAGAAAGAAAAGGCACGAAACACAGTAAGGCCCTAGACTCACAAGCTCCCTTGACAGCAGCTGAGGCTACCACTACTCTGAATGCCTGGGCAGGGTGTGACCACAGGGCCAGCCTGACCAATGAGGCAGGCCACTACCTCAGCCTGCATGGCCAGCCAGTGAACACTGGAGCAGCCTGCTCCAACAGGCAGCCACCAGCAATTGATGACACCTTTTGGGGCTACAGGAGTCCAATGCTGCAGAGGGAGGAGGTGCTGGAGCCCTGGACCCTCAGTGCACTGGAGACATGGGGGAGATCAGAAATCAAGGCTGTCTGTGAATCCTGAGTCTGTGTGTGGGGTGATCAGTGTAGACATCAGCAGTGGACAGAGTACTCACCCCCTGGGAGTCCAGCCTTCCCACCTCCCCCACTGCCCCAGCAGTCCCTCCCCAGCCCTTCCCCCCTCCACCTGTGGGTCACCCCCACTTCTGCACAACACACCAGCAGCCACTAAGGCCCCACCAAAACCTCCTTTGTCCTCTCTCCCATCCATCCCCAGTCCTGGTCCCAAGCTTGGTATCACTTCTAGTGAGCCTGGGAATGGTCCACCACGGACCAGGATTATCTTGCTCATCTCTGAGCTCTCTGCCTGGAAGTGGGTGAAGAGCAGAACCTAGACAGGAAGACTGAGCAGGATCCAGTTCCACAGTCCCTCCTATGGCTGAGGCAACACTGGAGGGAGATGGCAGGAAGCCTGTGAAGGTCCCCAGGCCCCCAGCTCTCAAGGAGCTGCAGGCAAAGGCATGTGAGAGAGCCAGGCCCCTCCATCCTACAGTTGCTGCACAAGGACACAGCCACCAGACCCCCTTCCTGGGGGAGAGGATACAGCAAGCAAACTCTGGCTGTTGCCAACCAGAGAACGTCACATGCCAGGACAACAAACACTCTAGGACAAT